CTGCTCAATTTTCAACCAAATTCCTGCCTTGCCAAGACCCTCCTTAAAATTACCCAGCTTCGACCCCAGAAGACTTTGAAAAGTCTTTCAGTGAGATGACTTAGAAATCAAGCACTAGGTTGGGAAGAAAATCATTATAAGACAAAAAAGTTTTTAACATATCTTATATATTTTTCTATATTTTAAAAGAGCATGGACTGAAAGTGGAACCTTGATAGTTATGGATATCCATCAGTCTAATTCTAAGCAAAATAAATGCAAACCTTTTCTAGAGAAATCGATGTCTTACTATTAAAAAAAATCTACGTCTTCTTGAAAATAAGCAGCCTTAGGTATTATACCCACATTTTGTCTCTCTCTGAATAAAAATGTTCACAAACTCCATTAATTAAATTCTAATTTATTATCTAATTATGTATCAATTCTAAATTATTAATGATGAATTTTACCAGTTTTACCAGGCACAATAAAAAGTAGACATCAAAATGTCAATAGAGAAACATGGCAAGATTTGCAAATCTTTTCTGAATTATGTACAAAGAAATCAATATAGGTTCTATATAATTTTAAGGTTAAGTATTTTATTTGAATACATATATGACAAGCACTAACCGAGATGTTAATTAACCCATGTTCCTGCTTGTCGCTCCAAAGCAGAATTGACAGAAAATTTATTTCATATATCATTGTGTCTAGATACAAAAAGTACAACTTCTTCAATTGCTTGATATAATAATTGATTGAACATTATTTTAAGACCCATCTCTTGAATTATCTGGAATAGTAAAATGCTTTCCAATTACCATGTAGAATACTTTCCATTTAGAATCAGGGGTTTCACATTTATTGTTCCCAGGAGACAGACTAAAACTAGCTTTTCTCAGGAAATTTGGAATGTAGATCATTTATCAGGTACCTATCTAATCTTTCAACAGTTTTGAAAACAACTCAATCTTTAATGCATTTGCAAACCACGAAGCTCCGATACTTTCAGAAAAACTGGTTTTCTTAAAGATTTTCTCAAAAATATTCAAGTTATGGTTCATGTTGAGAAGAAACCCTTAGTGAAGATTTTAGCCCATTTGGAAAATAGTAGTAGAGGTTTGCCTATTTGCACAAGAACATGTTTTAGGATATGTTTCAAATAAGATCATAGCAGTAAATGTATTTTTTTTCTTGAATATTTATTTTTCTCAATCTAACAAGCATTTGTTGAGCACCTAATGTGCACTAAGGGCTGTGCTAAACTGTAGGGATAAAAAATAAAAACATATTGAATAGTTTTAGGGATGTTAGAATATACCTGAGGTGGCAGGCATGTAAATGTTTAGTTACAATGCTCGATCTATTATGCACAGTGAGGACATATAAGGAGTGACAGAATGTTAGCGTGTAGCCAGAGGAAGCCTGACTAATGGATGCCAGTAGTCAAAAAGGGTCATATTATCTTGGTGAATTTACCACAGTCCCTACAAGGGACATACAAAACTAGAACATGTCATTAATCTGTAAGTGATTGCTGATTACCTGTTAACTACACTTTTGAGTTAGTAAAATGTAGTATGACACATTAGATAATGTGTTGAGATCTGGTTTCAGACAGACTTGGGTTCTCATTAACTGTGTTCTTAGACATTTAATTGAACCTCACTGCTCAACCTCAATTTCTACAGCTTTTAAATGAAGATAATAATGTTACCAACTTCGTAGGATTATTATTATAAGTAAATGAGGTAATGTATACAGAGCACTCACAACATTGCCTGGCTCACCTTAAGATGAGGGAAAATTCTAGCTATTATCACAAAATATAAGGTAAAAGAATATGTAATTTATTAATTCACATTGGGATTTTTCTTGTTTTCCTAGTATCCAAATGACCCCTTTTCACTTTTTGGAAAATCATCTTTCTCTGGTCAAAGACAGCCAGAAATATAAGTCATCCAAAGGACACTGGTGTGAATATACGATGATAGCAAAGGAAAACAGATATCCTTTTGTGAAGCATAATTTACTAAAAAATAAAAAGTACAGTAAAAAAATTCATAGCTTAATGAACTATTACAAGATAAACATCTATATGTCTATTATCCAGATCAAGGAATAAAACCTTTCCAACTCCTGCAGAAGGTCCCCTCATATTCATTCTCTCAATCATAATGACTTCACATTCCTGCCCCCCACCCCCGACGCACAAGGTGATTATAATCCTAAAATCTGTTATGGTTCTACTTCATTACTTTTCTTTAATTTTATCATCGAAGGATATGTCCTTAAACACTATATTTTAGTTCTGTTTCAAACTTTATACAAATGCAAACATACCATGATAATCATTTGTGTCTGGCTTCTTTCATGCAATATACGGGTATGAAATCCATCGCTAATTTTTGTGTAGCTGTTCCTTTTTTATTGTTATGTAGTATGCTACCATTTGATTACAAAACTTATTTAAGCTTTCTACTGTTGATGGGCTGTTGCCAGTCTCAACTATTACAAAGTATGGTAAACATTTATGTGTATATCTTGCAGTACACATGTGATGCATTTCTATCAGGTATATACATATGAGAAAAACTGTTAATTCACAGGGAATACTTATTTTCAATTTCAGTAGTTAATGCCAAACAATATTCCAAATCTATTTATATGCCTACCAATAGCCTCATGCTACATAATGCTTTCTCAGTCTTTAAATATTATTTTTCAGTTATTTGGTTGGAGGGTGCTTAGTAGTAATTTACTAGGATTTTAACTTGCATTTCCCTAATTATGAATACTTTTCCTAATAATTTGTTTTTCTATAAGCATTCTAGATAACAAGCCCTTTGACATTTAGATGTGCTCAAATCTCTAATGTCTGTCTATCGCTGGACATTTCACTATTTTAATGAAGTTTTGAAATACACAGAAATTCTTAATTTTAATATGGTTGGATGTATTGACCATTTTTATGGTTAATGTTTCTGTTCCTATTTAAGAAATTTTTCCTATTCCAAGATTATGAAGATTTTCTTCTTCACTGTCTTCTATGAGAATTATTGTTTGTCCTTTAAGAGTTAGATCCAAAATCCACTAGAATTGATTTTGCTGCATAAAATATGTATGAAGTAGAGACCACATTTTATTTATCATTTCCATATGGTGATCCAATTGTTCCAGCACCCTATAGTAAAAAGATCTCTTTTCTCATTGCCCTGTAGTCCTGTTTTGTCCTAAATCTAGTTTCTATATATGGGGATAT